TGTCGTTGTGAAATATCCCCCGTTGAAGTTGCTTGGATTCATCAGAAGTGTGGATCTCGAGGTGGTGCTCTAGGCAGGAAACTGAGCGCTAGTATTGGGGGCACAGTAGATCTTTTAGGTTGCGGTGCAGGATCACCCCATTCTGTAATCTACATTGCATTGCAAATAAAGCATCTTTTTCGAATTAAGGGAAATTTTTCTTCCTTTTTAAAAAAATATAAGATTTATTGTTTATTTGGCCAATTAAAAAAATCAACAAAACAGCGATAAAAATAATAAGTAAAGAAATAGCAAAAAATTAAAAAATTGAATACGGAGGCACCTAGGATTTTAAATTTATCTCGTATTTTAATATTTTATAAATTTTAAGTGGTTTATTCTTGTTATTTCCTTTATTAAATAATCTATTTGAAGGCAAAGAATGATAATAACTTGTTTTCTACGACTTTTATACTTATTTTCCATTCTCATGATTTCCGTTTGTATTTTTCTAAAAAAAAAAAATTTAAATTTATCACGCACTATTCAAATGTGCTGAAATAACGATTTTTATTATTTTTCCTTTTTGTGCGTCTGTATATAAGAAATGAAAAGACAAAAAAGAAAATGTTGAAGAAGGTGATGAAGAGGATCCTAAATAATAGCATAAAATTTAATCTATTCAAAATAAGTACACATGTATGTAATATTTACATATGTAAATGTCTAATAAATATTATACATGAAAATATAAAAGAAATAGTTTTACATACATACATACAAGTGTAGCCATATAAATATGATTAAAATGTAAAATTCTCATATGTACGCACTTTTAAAAACTCTCAATTGTCAGGTTTTTCTTTTGTATTTGTATAATAAAAATTACGAAAGACATACGTAGGTTGCTAAAATTAAAATAATAAAATGACATGAAGAAATGAAAAGTGTTTTTAGAATTTGTATCGTTAGAGAAATTCTAGTATATGAACTGGGAAAAATGTGCAAAATAATGAACACAATTACTTAGCAAAGCAATAGTAAAAATAATAAGCTATGTATATATTTTCGATCTTTCTATTGTAATTAAAATAAATAATAAGCTGTTCTTTATACACTTTGAAAACCGGTTTTAAAATGTCGTATGTTATTTATTTATAGTGTTCGGTTTAAGTGTACATAGTACTCTACACATATAATAACGTACATACATATGTAAGTTATACATATTTTCTACGCTAACCGTTACAATAAAATATTTGAGAGCAATATATACTTACGCACATTTATTCCGGTAGCTGATCGATGACTTATAATTTTTGTGTGAACTCCAGAGTAATTTGTAGTGTTGTAATTCCTGTAAAAAGAATTTGTTATACCATAAGTATTATAAAAGGTATTTAGGTTTATTGTTGCATGTTCTTTATTAAATTAAAAATGGTAAAATTTTAAAAATCACCTTATTCATAACAGCAGTAAAACAAACACTAATTTTTCAATATTTTTCGAAAGTACATATAACATTTTATCAACAAAGTAATAACCATATTGAATTTACGTAATGAAAATGTTAAAAAACTCCAATTTTTATACGGAACGATGCGATGTTCAATCGAATTCTAAATTTAGGTTATTTAAAATTTGTAGATGGCGTAGTTGTATTTTGATTTATTATACTGTCATTAAGAGAATAATAAGTACAGTTAAAATGGAATATTGATTATATAATTAATTGATGAACTAAGCGACAATTTATGAATTTTATAGGAAGTTTAAAAAAAAGATATTTATTTTATGATAGAATGAATTTTTATTTATTTCTTTTCAAATATTTAGATTTTACATTTTGTCAGTCTATGAGCAGGACTCTAACACAAGTCACTCGATATTTTATAATTTCAAGCTTTTAGGGGCAAATGAAATGTGTTTAATTTAATAAAACCAATAATTTGAAATCGTATATTTTATACACGATTACGATTATAATTATTATTATAACATTTTCTGGAATTTATTTATATCTAATTAAAAAATATTCCGAAGCATTTGAATGTAATTTTTTTGTTATTTTCCTTTAATACAAGTTATTATTAGTGAATACTTATTTACATATGTATACATACATGTAGAAAATTTACTCGTGCTTATAATTTATAAGCAGTAGTACTCAATAACATAATCATATTATAAGAATATGTCAGGCAAATATCGAGAAATTTTAATATAATCTCTTGTTATGTGATTTGACATTTATTATATCTTGGGAGAACAATGACAGTCTTATATAGAATGATTGATAACAGAATACAATTGAATTAGAGAAAAATAAGATAAGTAACATATGTATGAATGAAAATGAATAATACAAATGATTTTAAGTAACATATGTGTATGTACAAATGTATATAAATGAATCTATTGAATTATTTTGTATATAGATGTATATACCTATAAACAAACATCAATATATTATAGAATATAGCTTAAGTTAGAAATATTTTAAATATTAAAAAGTTTATCAAATTAAATTAGTGATTGAATACTTGTATAATAATATATTAGTTACAATTAATAAATTGCTGAATTTTACAAATATTTTGTTGACAAACAATTAGAACTTAAATTCATAAATTAAATCAGAATAAAAATCAAAATTAAGGCACTTCTTTTTTTTTAATTCTAACACCACTGTACTATAATTTTCATTTGTGAAGTAAATTTTTCTGAAAATGAATAAGAAGGCTTTTGTTTGGGAGTGTCATCTATATATATATATAATAATAGTTATGTGTAATTAATACGTTTAAAATTCACACGCACGCGAATGTGCGAAATAATAAAGGACAAAAAAATGATTGATTTTTTATTTTTAATCCCAAAACTTACACATTGTTATAATCACCGGCATAAGAAAGAAACTAAAAATAGATTGGATTACAAATACTTTGTATGTAAGTATATACATCTATATATATATATATATATATATATATATATATAGATCACTATATGCGTATGTACATATGTGCATAGTTAAGGCACGCCAATCACATCTTTTACATCTTTTTTATTATTCTTTTTTACATAGTATATATAATATTAATGGTATTATAGAAATTACACATTTCGCTAAGTGTATACATAATATTCTTATATGTAAAAAAGTTTTTAACAAAGTGTACATAACATAATGAAATCAAGAATAACAATTTTTTCAATTAATTGTGCGTTTTCTTTAAAAATGTTAAGGGTTTTCCATATGTAACTGTGCATCTTTGTAAAAGAAAATCAAAAAAATACTCACTTACATATGTGAACAGCCTAGTGTGCAAAATTTAAATTGCAAAGTAAAAAATTACATTAAAATTGCAATGTGAACTGCAATTCTAGTTTTCTTCTAGAAACTTTTACTGATTGCACGAGCAAAATTTTGAAATATGCACTATACGATATAGGTTGAGTATATTTAAGTCTAGGGAAAATTATTTATGCATATTTTTCTTAAAAAAATGACAACAAAATCTGTCTCAAATCTACACAAACGCTCCGATGCACTGACGCAATTTGCACTTTTATGTGAACACCCTTATAAAAAAAAATTAGAAATGTTTTTATTAAAAACTTAGAAACATATTTGAATGTTATACGGTATTAATAAAAATTTTTCGTTTAGTTAAGAATTTTGATTAAAACTTAAATTTCATATTATTTTGGTTAATATATACAAAGTTCAAAATAAATAATAGAATTGCCGAACTATACATAATATACGAATTTGCATGTATATAAACATACTTGTACTCATTATGTAAATTGAATACTGCAAAATATTGTGCGTGCGCTTTGTAATAGAAAAATATTTCCTAGGATATTTTATATATATGTAGATACATATGTATGTATTTATGTATTTCTTATTGTATTCTTGGTTCGTTTTCTTCTAAATGTTTTGTCTTAATTATTAATAATATGAGCACAGATGTTTTTTTTTCAATTTTTATATAACATTAGCATTTTGATTAATTTAAAAAAAATCCAGGGAAAAATCTTAAATTAAAATATTGAAGAAAAATTATCTAATTTTACAAATTTTTTAAATAATATTTTTGATTTATGAAGAAAAGTACATTTAAATAATATCGAATTAAATAAATAGGGTTTGTAAGGCAGTTGGTTTCTGTGGATGGCTAATATCGTAAATGAAAACCCTATTTTACTTTATTCTCACGTCATACAATTTTTAAAATTTTTCAATTTAATATTAATAAATTTTAGTTCTAATTAAAACTTATTCCAGTAAAATTTTGAAAATTTTAAAATTTTTCAAAAAAATATGCCAAACCTGCCGGGAATTTTCAGAACTTACACATGTCTGCAAGAAATTATTAATTAAAAAATCCACCTTCTCAGATACTAATAAAATGCTACCCCTTATCATGTAGAGCAAGAGTAGGGTAACGAATCGGTAAGTTGTACTTATAGGTACATTTCTAAAATTGTATTAATAACATAATTTGAAGTCTTTTAATGTATTTAGGTGTTTGCGTATTTGTCATTTATATATAGCTTAAGTTTTCAGGGAAATATTAATTAATTGTTGAATATTGTTGATAATATCAATGGCAAATAGTTTAGATGTAAATATTGCAGTATCGACTACAAAAATGGTACATTCACAACATGCTTACAATTGATATAGAATTTTAATTGCTATAAATAAGTCGAATCAATGTTAGATCTTCATTCATGTAAACGTTCGATGCTGCACTAGTAACATTATTTGGAGTATACAAAAGTTCTTAAAATTTAATGATTTTAAAATTTTACTCCAATCTAAAATTTAAAATATATAACAAAATTTTTTTTAGGGAATTCATTCTCTCTTGTTTTAAATTTTGGAAATTTCTCTTTTTTTTTTAAATAATTTATGAATTAATTTTTGCTTTATATCTTATCGCTATTTTTATATCACAAAAAATAACTCTTATTTTTCATTTATCTAATCAAAAACATACAAAAAATTTTTTTTTATTTTTTTTTTATTATTATTATTCTAATTTATAACAAAATTATAAACATTGTTTTTATTTAAATTTTAGTTTAAACTTGCCATTTTAAAACAATGTCGGTGGAAAAATTTTCGAAATGTAGGTATTTTTTTGAGAAAATAAAAAATAATGTTAACAATCATAATATAAAAACTTATATACAATATAACACTTTAAAAAAAAAACTAATTATAATTATTTTTAAAAATGAAAAAAAAAAAAATTATCAAATAAAAATTAAATGAAAATATTTAAAATATTATTATGAATTAGCAAACGATTTCAATTTTCCGAGATTGAGAAAATATCCAGATAGAGCATATCAATCAACTTTTTGCTTGAATACTCCTAATTTGGGAGCATCAAACAATGCAACAAAGTCAAATTTAACATTTTCAAATATTAAAGAAGCACCGAGAAAGGTGAGTTTTTAATACGATTTACATGAATATTATTATATACATACATATGTATGTACACATAAATTTATTTAATAAATTTTTATGTGCGTATACAAGGTGTTTAATGCTAAATTATTGTTATAATTTCTGTGTTTTTTTCTGGAGAAACATTTAATAATATAAAAATAATGCTGAGTTATCGTTTGGTTTAGTTTTAATATTTAATTAAATTATAGGCAGATTTTTAAAATTATATACCAAATTAGCATATCGTACTAGACGCGGTGATGTTGTTTTCATATAGCCCTAAAATTTAATTTTTGTAAAGTTGTTATAGAATTCAAATATAATGTTTAAATATTTGCTATAAAACTTAATTTGCTATAAATTTTAATATCTATAAAATATTTTACTTTAAATTTTTAACATTAAAGAGTATATGTAGAAAAAATTTTTTAGCGAGAATTTTTATGTTTGTGTTGCAATCTACCTATACAAAGAAGTGAAAATATTAAGATAATTATGATCAGAATTTATTATTATCTAAGTATATATTTTTTTTGGGTTTAACAACTATAATTAATTTAAAATTCTTAAAGAAAATTTTAATTATATTTATAAACATTAATAAATAAATAAATTTAAATAATTTAATTTTTTATAAATTTTTAATGAAAAATATTTTGTTACACAATTAAGATTTTTTTTTTAGAAAATATTTTTTCATAAAATATTCAGAAATAGGTTTAATAATTAATTAAATGTTGTTTGAATTGAAAATTAATATAAAAGCATAAAATTTCTTTTAAATTATAAGAACTTTATATAAAATCAAACGAAAAAATTTCTTTAAAATGTTGAGTTTGTGAAATTGTTCTTAAAATTGTTGTATAAAAATTTATATGTGTGCTTAAGTATGTTAATGATCACAAATCAAGCATTTAATGCAAGTATGTACATACATATTATATAGATAATTTTAATGTAAATATAATTATATTAATGTTATCTTATTATGTTTATTATGTACTTATACATATATATTTCAATAAGGTATATAAATTTTAAGATTAAAAAAGCTTAATGATATGGAAAATATTTATTTTAATGGAGTGCAAGTATATGTTAATGATATAATCTTTAAAAAATTTATTTTATTTGAATTGAATTTAATATATAAAGTTAAAAGTATATATAAAAACCAAATGCAATATTCATAATATTTATTTAATTAACACAAAATTATAAAAAAAAAAATTTTTATTAATTAATTTGCATTTTGCGCTTTTATAAATACTTAAAAAATATTATTTTAATTCGGTTTTTTATTTTAATTTCTTTTTATTTTTTATTTATTTGAGAAAATAAAAATAAATCAATGAAAATTCGTATGAATTTATTTTAATAAATAAACTTAACAAAAAATTATTATTTTCATAAATTTATGTACATTTAAGCTTTATCATGTTTTTTTTTTTGAAAAAATTGTAAATTAATCCGTAAATATTAGGTGTTAATACCATCATAACATACAGTTCTGCACATAAATAACATTTTTATGCTATAATAGTTGTTTATAAAATTAAATTGAAAAAAATATTTAATATTTTTATATATTTTAAGATTTAATCGTGTATGCATTAATATTTTTAAAATATAGTCAATTTTATTCCTGTAAGTGCGGGTATAAATACGAGTAGCTATATTAAAGAATTAATGGCAAGAACTATAGGTACAAAAAATATGAACTTTAGATTGTTATTATATAAGTATATATTATATATATGTACTTATTTCAATATTCCTAATATAGCTTAGCAATGTCCCACAGAGCTATAATAAATAAATAAAGAACTCATTACAATTTTATTACAATTTTTTTCAAATTAAAATTATTGTTTACTTTATGATTTCTTATCATATAACATAAAATTAATTAGCATATAAATTTTTGTACTTTGATATAATAATAATACATAAGTACCCTGTCTAGAATATTTCATAAAACAGTTATCAAAAATATTTGTTTAAAAAAAATTTTGGAAATTATTTTACTGCAATTAAAAGTTTGGTTTGTATTGGTAAAATAATGTGAATGAAAAATGTTTAAATATTGTGTAAATAATTCAAATGAAAGTTTATTAAGAAGCATAAAATTTACAAATGAAATTATTAATTGAGTGTATGTTAACTCAGAATTGCCAGGTATATGTGATACTGTAAAAAGGGAGCACGAAAAAATGTACTTCCCACTCATAACTTTTTGAATCGACTTTGAATACAAATTATATTTCCATAATGTAAAAATTATATTTGTATTGAAAATTAAATTAATGAAAAATTTGCCTTCCCAATATATGGGTCTTGATTTGTCAGTTAAGAAAGGTATTTACTAGAACAATAATCTAATATACACTCAAAAATATCAAATTCAATATAAAATTTTACAACTAATTTCTATTTCCGCAACATTCAACTTTCGTTTACTTAAAAGCAAAGCATTATTATAATTGATCAAATTAAAAATATAGAGTAATTTATATATAAATAAAAATTCTCAAAATTCCCTAAAAAAGAGTACAGTTGACAAGGCTTCTGCTATTTAATTCAGAATGTAGTAATACTTGTTTTAAATTATATTATATTTTATAGGTAGTCGTTTTTGATTTGCGAAAGTATACATACACGCTATTACTATGACCACAAGTAGTGACAGAATTTTTTTTTTACAAAAAATAAACCATACCTTATAAAGCTTTTAAAAATTGATATATGCATAAATTTTCTTGAAATAAAGTAATGTCAGCTGTACGGATTAAGAAAGCATATCAAATATGTCGGCGTTATTGTGTCATAAATTTTACGTATACAAATAAGTACTTACATATATAAATTATAAACTTACAACAATTAAAATTTGATCCAAGTTTATCGAAATTTAAAGTTATTAAAAATACTTTGAACTTTAACAAGCCCCTAAAACTATAAACTTTGTATGTAGAATTAATAATTATTATTATTAAATTAAAGTAATTACTATACCAATGATAATATTATATGTTATATACATATAATCTGATAAGAATTTATTATACACGGTAGTAATGTTTACAGAGTATGAATTACTGAAATTTCATTACCCTTTTTTATACAAAATAAAGGGTAGCTGTTATAGAAATAATAGAGTTTGTACAAAATATATACGAATATACATATATCACAGGTGATTAGTTTCGCCTCATAAAAATAACAATAAAGTTTTATAACAATTCAATAAATATTGTTTTTAAAAATGAAAATTGAAATGGGTGAATTTTATTACAAGAGTAAATGATAAAACAAAATTATATATACATATATACCTTTATAATAAGCATAGATTCTATTTGTTATGACATATATATTGTGGTATTATAAGCGATAGACCGTGACTACCAACTATAATTTAAGTATTTTCCATTTAAATTGATTAATATACGGAAATTAATTTTATCTATCGTATACATGAGTGAATTTTAACACCTTATAATTGTAATATAACACAATATCGCAATTTCAACTATTTTGAACTTTATGTTTTTCGTTAATTGTTAATTTTTTATTAAATTGTAGAGTCAATAGCCTGCTCCTTATTTCATTTATAGTGTAATCGTACAAAACTTAGTTGATATTTTTACTTATAGCAAATTAAATTTTAAATTTTTAACAATAAATTTGAAATTTTTAATTCATTTTTAATAATTAAGAAAAATTTAGTTTTTAAAATATTAAAAATATCTTCATTTTTTTTTAATTAAAAATCTGAAAGCAATAAATTCCCTGTTGATATTTTATGATTTTTATTTTTTTTAATTACTTCTTCATAATTTCTAAAACTTTCACGTTTAACTTTTATATTAAAAAATAAATGATTTCGTTAGGGTTCAAATTAATAAAAAACAAAATGTTAAAAAAAGAAAAGAAGAAAATAATAATGTTCTGTTAAGTGACTGATGCGACTACACCTTAATTTTGACGCAGTGCTTTAAAACTCACACTTCATCCTTATACTTGTATTTTATTTTTCCATAGACATATAACTATAGGTATACTCTAGTTAAATTAAGGAAATCATCATAAATGTGTAGACATATGTGATATATGACACGAACTACGAATATATGAATGTATGTAACTAGGAATGTATATTGCAGAAAATAAACGGAAATAAATTAAAAAATACGGATATTAAATGTTGAGTCTATATTAACTAATAAAATTTCTTAATGGTTGTATATATGGGAACTTTATATTGCATGTTATATTTAAATTCAAAGGTTGGGCCGAATGTTAAAAATAAATGTATGTATTTGAAATCGATTGGTAGATCAAGAGGACCAAGGAATATGAACTCAATTTCAAGCTGTGTTTTATAAAATATGCTAGTATAATTATGTATGCCTATCTATACAAACATATTTTTTTTTTTTAAATTATATAAATTTGAAAAATATTTTAATCAGAGTAATTGCAGTCATTCTCTAAATAAATTTAATTAATTTCAAATTTTCATTCATTTACAATAATACTTTGCTCTATTTAAAAATTATGTCGGAATTTCTTCATGGTACATTAATATAATTATGATAAATTTTTATGCACTAATAGTTTTTGCTCATATAAATATGTTTATAGTTTTTATGTATATAAAACAGTTATGTACATACATGTATGCCGATTTTTTTGGCTACCTCCCTATGCTTAAATGAATTCAATGGCATAGAATGGTTTAATATTGTGACATAAAATTAAAAATATAGAATTTTTAATGTTTTTAATTTTGATAGCAGGTACATTACGTGTATTATATATTTAAAATCAAAATTTTGATAATTGCATTTATGTTTATGTATATGCATGTAAATATATGTGAAGAACAAATTTTTATATTCATATGTATGTACAGGGTCCTTTGATAAGCTTGCGCTGCCGTCATTGAGCATCAGATAGTCAAAAAGATTCTATCTCCCTCTAGCTCCTTC